TAGTAAGTGGGTTTTAAGTCTTGCGAAAATACAGATAGATGTGTATATCCTCGCTTAACTAGAAAATCATCATAACAGTTAAAGGGATAATAACTCTTTGTTTCGGCCAAAAAATTAATTTTCCTGGAGTAAACAAGAATTTTCCCATACTTACCAATGGTTAATGAATCCATTTTTACATTCAAAGTTAGTCCCTGGTTTTTTTCTAAAAAGTTTGGTTTTTTGTTAAAATCTCTTAAGAGATTTTAACAGAGTATAGCCATCAATGGAAGTCACGTGGTCTAAAGACAAGCTCAGATATCAGAATAATAGCTATAACTGCCGTTTATGTGGTAAAACAGAATACATTATATTTCTATGAGTTGTTCACAATGTTTTTATTGTGAAATATAGATCTCATACGAAGAGTTATTATCCCTTTAACATATAATCACTCGCTTTACTGTTAACGAAAAATTAATCATATGTTACTTACTGAAATTATTCAATTTTTTCACCAGCTACACCTGTGTCCATATTGTTGTATTCTTACAACTCCTACTTGACCAAAAACGAGGCTTGATACCCGGATTACAGGTTGAGCTTGTGGTCATCGTACAAAATTTCCCGGGGGAGGATACTGTGAAAAGCATAATGATACACATCTTGAAAACGGATAGCATTTGGTGCCGAGTCTGGTAGTTGGGTAGGCCTGAAAAAGAGCAGATTGGTTAGCCTTACCCTTAGTGGTGGTGGGATGTGACAAAACATGTATAAATCAATATGAAAGGGATAAACCAACATACACACACACACACACACACACACACACACACTTCTGACTTGAAATGTTGTCACCAAATCTCTCGAAGATGTAGAAGCTATAAAAAGCTGTATGAAGAATTTATGGTTTATAAAACGAAAAAATAGCATCATCTTATTGCACATGTCAGGAGATTGTTTTGATTTTAAATAAAAAAGAGCTGTTCACAATAAGGTTTAAAATATCTGTGAAGTAAACTTGTTACTATTAGCCCCAAAAAATGGTGTATGATTGAAACCTAAAAGATGCATGTTTTTATTAACTCTTCATGTTTTTCTGAGTTTAGAAGTGTTTTCATTTTTTTTTTTTGGTCTATAAAAAATGGACATTTTGTATCAGTGAAATGGTTTATGTGGTGCGAGGGGGGGGGGGCATCTCACCTTGTTTCCCTCTTTGAATATTTATCATATTTTTATAGGGAAGGATGGGGGTGTTCCCTGCCTTTGGTATTCCAGTTTCAGGAAGATGTTTGTAAAAATAGTATTTTGTCCTTTGGATGGTCTATGATGCTCTCTTTTAGGGACTTAAAAGAGTTTTAGCAGGTCTCAAATTGCACTTTTACTGCTCTGCTGTATAGATTTAATATAAGCAAATTATCAATTTAGGTGTCTCATATATGAGAGAATGTAAGTTTATCAAATGTGAATATGTACTTACAGTTATGCTATAATCCCATTTGTTGGAGTAATTTTGAACTTTTTGGGTAGATTTATAGCTATTGATGAAAGGCATGCTATGCTAATTGCCAATTACAGACTTTCTTGGATGCCTGGTGATGCCCCAGCTCTTCTAAGAGAGTCCTAATGTAGTTACTTCTCTAATTTGTAGGTAACAGCTACCGGTAGAATAGATTGAAAAACTGCATGGGTACATGGTTTTAGAGAATAGAATCTGTGGTCAACTCCATTTGATATATGCAATGAGTGATCCTATTTTTGAAGTATCAGAATTTCCTAGAAATATGTATTTATTCTATTTATAGAAGTAACTTGATTCAAACAACACTGTTAAATTGTCATCCTGCTGAAATTTTTACCTCCATCAAGGAGGTTATGTTTTTGTTCCCGTTAGTGAGTTAGTTAGTTAGTTAGTTTGTCTGTAAATAGCATAATGCTACAAGTCATGGATGGATTTTGATTGAAATTTTCATAAAAGGTNTGTAGCAGCAATGCTTTAGCTCTTATTTGATTATCTAGATTTTTACGTCTATAAAATATGCTTGTAACATATAAGCACGCAAATATATGTCAATAATATATAAAAGCAAGAATAATATTGACTAACTTAATTCCGTTTTCTTCCATGTTTTTATCAACAAATGCATTTTTGAAAATTTTGTTCTTCCCTCAATAAAACAAAGGTGTGTTTGTGTGTACACACACACACACACACACACACAAAATGATTAGATTTAGGTTATGATCCATTAATTAATGGTTAATTATTTGACTTTGTGGTGTTCTGCCTTCTCTGAGAGCTTTTCGCAAATAGACCAAGGAAAAAATGATAAAATTTCGGGGGTGATACAGCTTATTTTGATGATGCAAACTCACAGACATTATTTATTTTTTACACATTTTCACTGTATTCTTTATTGATGGATTGCATTTTTCATCCAAATTGGCATGCTGTGGCAAGAATTTAGGCCATTGGTACATACTTTTGGGTCAACTAACCAGTGATCCAACATAAGATATGCTGATGATTGTATCACTTGTGTGTCAGTATTGTCTGTCTATGGTGGTCCTTTGTTGGCTTGGTATAGCTTATGATGCATAGAGATCGTGGCATTTCATCCCTTTTTCTTGGAAAGCTGTAGTATAGTTTATTGTGTCCTTTATGCGATCTAGGCACCAGATTTGTTCTGAGTGGAAAAAAATACATTGTGCATTGATCTTCTTTTTTAGTGTTAATATTGTGCTTTTAGATGCCCCAGCTTACAAGTATTTTGTTTTGAGAGCCTAGAAATAAGGAATCATGGGCAAGTGTTCAGAATAAAACAATCAATATTTTTTGTTGTCAGAGGCTGGAATCATCTCTGTATTTTCTAGCAATATGAGCGATGTGGCATTGAATTAGGTGCTTCTTTCAGTGAAGTTTTCTTTATGTTCAAAAAGAAAGGCAAAAAATAACCATTATGTACAGATATTATGATTGGCAGGGGAGGAATTGAATTCTCCTCTGAATCTTTATAAAGTTGATTAGAGTTTTCTGAAAAAGACAGTTATTTTAGTGGAATTGGTGATTTGATTACTGAATTGTTTGGCAGACTGCAACCTGGATGAAAGACTGTCAACCAGAATATTTGGATCTGATTGCATTTTGCAAGTGCTTTGGAAGAGTAGGCCACTGGATTGAAATTACATGTACAACTAGTTTTAATAAAGTTATGGCAGGCATTTTAGTGTTATATATTGGCCTTTGGCATTTGCCGATTTGGTACATCAGTTTAGAACTCCTTATATGACGTATTGTGTGCAGTGAAGTTACAAAGTGCAGACCCTTGATATTTTCAATTTTTTTTTTTTTTTTGGATTTTAATGAAAGTTGCATTTGATGTCAGATTTTTGGCCACAAACCCCGAATAAATACCACCAGATAGTTTCAATTAGCATACATGTAACTTTAAGAAATATCAAAAGACATTCTTCATATTTCTTGAAAAATTATACTTGAACAGCTTTTTTTGTCCTTCTAAAGTTCTGTGCTGTATGTAACCTTTGGTTGTTTTGCCGCAGCTATTGCACCTGCAACAGTAATGCGTTCTTCATTACTACGTCATTTGGCAAATTTTACGAACTGGAGGGACAGATAAATAGGTAAATTTTCTGACCAGAAAGGTCTTTCATCAATTTTTTATGGCTTATTGAGTGATTGGTTTGGTTTATCCCTTGTTGACTTGATTTGAGTGGTGTATGTAAGAAGCTAGTAGAAGTAGTGTATATGCTTTATAGGGAGGTACACTCCCTTCATATCTAACTTTTAGGTACAACTCCCACGATGAGACCTCATGTACCATGTCAAGGCTAACATCTGCATACTTATAATATTTTAAAGATTTAATTGACAGATATGCTGATTTTGACATTAATTTTCATTCTTCATGAATTTTCTTGCTATCTTACCCTGACTATTGAAATGGAAATAAAACACCTTAGATATGTCATTTAGCCTGCAGATTGTGCATTGGCAACTTTCCTTATGGAAAAAAAACGTAAGAAGATAAAGAAAACTAAATTTTCGGACAAATTTGTGAAAATGAATCACTTACTGTTATTTACTGACATTTACTGCCTAATAAAGCAAAGAAAATGCTCTAAAAACTTAATTATGCATTGTACTGGGGTCAGGTGAGAGAAAAAGCTGAAGCTAATTTTTTTTTCACTTATGTTAATCAAGTAGTATTAAGGTTAGGTAATCTGATTCAATATATTGTATATTGAACATTCCTGGAATCTGAATTCAGTTTGTGCAATTTTCTTGTTAATTAGACAATTCAGAATACAGTAATTACTCTATCTTTTCAATGGGCGAAAATTATCAAACTTTCAGATACATGGGCATTTGTAGTGCTTTTACTGCATTTAATAGAACTATAGATTGCCATGTTTTTTAATTTTGTTGCTATCACTCAATTAGACCAAATAGGAATGTTCTAATTTTAAGAAATTATGACTTCAAAACACAGTATCTGTAAAATTCACAACTTTTCCCTCATCGAAAAAAAAAAAAGAGTAATTACCATATTTTTAGCATTTACATGTATATAACACGTCACTGTTCTGTAATTTTTCATAATATTTTATACAATTTTCGTTAGTGTGGCAGTTTGTTTTGAGTATCAGTTGGTTATATATATCAGGCATTTTTAATTGCTTAATAGCCTTTTTCTCGAAGCAATGATCTGCTGTTATGTCACGCCACGCCACACACCAGCAGATCCTGATTACAGCCAGCTGTATACAGTGCACATTGAAATGACTCATACCAGTGCTGAAAAACTCTACAACCAGGCAGATGTCAGCTTGTAGCGTGCTTTCATAAAACGATTGGCAGAGGAGGAGAAAGTCATTATTGGAAGAAAGACACAGTTACTGCCAACTGATTGATTTCTCATTAACGCAATGAAATATTAAGCTTTGTTTCAGTATTTTCAGAAATTTTGTAAGTGGATTTGCGAGAAATGCAATTGTTTATCTGCTGGAGAAACCTTATTTATTATGCTTATAGCTTAGACTAGGACTTGGGTTTGGAAGAGGGAATTTAATTGGTTTTCTCAATTCTGCTGTTGTGTATGGTATTTTAACTGGGAAGGGCAGCTGTGTGTTGCTAGGATTACCCTGAAGAGGGTGGTATACCTGAGGCACCTGTCAGGATTGTTGGCAAGTGTCTTATTAAGCAGGCAAACCTGATTATTTCCGCTCTTTTGAAGTTGGTTGGACTCATAAAGAAACCTAATAGGACACATCGGGTGCATTTTTTTTTCAATAATAATACAAAGTTGTATTATATTTTTAGAAAGAGATAATAGGTGTAACTAAGTGATAATAGTGAAGTGGATATGCCACTCACGTTATTATTGCTTTGAGATATTAGTACATAAAATGAAAGTGTCAAATTTTGATACATTAGTAGGTGAATTAGAATAAATGCATAATAGTATACTTTCAAAATTTAAATAATGGATCAGATCAAAGCCGTCTTTGAAATCTAAAGATAAAAGATCTGCTTTGTATTAGAAAAATCAAAGGAATACAAACAAAGGTTTTGAAAAGAATTTCAAACAACAAATTGATTGGCAGGAGAGCATGCCTTTTTTTTGTGGTGGGGGGCATAGCTGGTTTTGACAGATTAAAATGTAGATATGTATATATATAGTTACCAGATAAATATATTTCATAGTGCTAAGCTTTCCTGTAAGGTCCATACAAAAAAAAAAAAAGCACATAATGGTGAAGGAAGTCTTTCATCTATGTTATTAATGATAAGTTGTGGGATAATAAGATAATGTTTAGATTATAGGTTATATTTACCATTTTGTTTCAGGTTTATCTTAGAAGTACCGCAGGTCATCCATAAGTTGCCATTTACCCAAAGCTAATAAAGAACTGCATGGGTTATATATTTGTAGTCTTGGTAGATGTGTAGCTTCAGGGGGATGATAATTCAGTTGCTGTCGTCTTATTCTCTTTAGCTTTCACCTGGGTTGCCGTAGCTTCATACCAGCATTTACTGAAACATTGATTGTGGACGAAAGTGAGGCATGTTTCAAATTTTGCTCGTTTCCATCAGAAGTAGTCCATAAGTCATTAACGGGCTGTGTTCAGTGGTGCTTGGTTTGCATATAGTGTTCATCAGTAAACAGGAATTGAAAGGAAATCAACAAGCTGGGGCCTCATCACAAACACACCTGGTGGACACGCAATGCAGAATAATTGCTGTGCTGGCGGCAGGGAGATTTGTGGGGTAGAAAACTGAAAGAAATTAAGGAGGAGCTAATATGACTTGAGGTGTTTATGTGGCAGAAGGTGTGCTTTGCTTTGCTTTGGCTGCATACACAATTTTGGACTGAGCCTGGTGAAATCAGTACTTTTTACAGTGACGGTAGCAGTTTGTTGGATACCGAATCATAATACCATTATACTAACAACTGATAGCTTCGCCATACTCAGATTGGCTCCAGAGATGGATAGGATAAGTGTCGCAAGGACATTTTCATTTAAACGAAAGGGTAGTCATCGTAAAAATAAGGAAGAAGAAGTTCCAGAAGATACATTTGACTACTCTAAGTTAACTTTTCTAAGGTAAGAAATTATTTCATGTTGCACTTTAATATAAGATCTGTTAATTGCTTGTAAGATGCAGCTATAACATGCATGACACTTGTTATTAGACTTGACGTATTTTATGAATCTTTGTCAGCATAATTTCACCCGTAACATATCCTGTAGGTTTTCCTATTAAATTGATACACATGAAAATCTTCAATAAAGTGATAATGGATGGAGACAATGTGGAGTTTTCAGGAAAGGCGTCGTGGATAATAACCTTTTCATGAAACAGTGTTATTGGAGACACATGACAGAGCTGAATTGAAACATGTCAGCTGGGCAATCATTAACCCAGTCTCCTATTAATTCAATACTGGCTCTAGCCCTGTTGTAGAGTACTTAAGGATGTACTTCAGTGCTCATATCTCCTGCCATGTTAGCGGAAAGGTTTAAAGTAAGAGAAAGCGTGCATAATGGAAAGCCGCATGGTTATTAGCATGACTTCTAATCTTGTATGGAGAACCTAAGATACGGATATTAAGTAGTAACATTTTCCCTTTCTTTACGTGGACGGTCTGAAATATGATTGTCCATTTATATATCGGTCCCCAAGAGTTATCATAAGTATGAACTGTTTTCCAAACATGATATTTCCATTTTGAATGATACATATGTAATTTATGGCATTATATACTGTAATACATATTTATATGTGAAAAAGAAATTGCATTTATGTCTCCTCAGTTTATACTGACTCAATCACTCAAACTTGACATATAAGTAGCAATAAAGGACAAACACAGGTATGATGGTTGAAATTTAGCCAGTGAAGGTTGCATTTATTATAATGCTCCTCTGATAAAAGAAATAATATAGATTACCAATTTTGAATATTAAATAGTATTGAGAAATACCTTTATGCAATTACATATATAATTTACAAAAAAATATTGCACATATTTTAATTTGTTGAGTACAGCAAAGATTTCCTTAGTTTACATCTACTGTAGCAGTAGAGCTGGTCTTGTGGAAGCTAGACAGAATTTTTTAACTTGGTGCTGTATGCTAGAACAGACAGAAGAAAATTGTCATTTTCATCTATATTGCCATTTTAGCATCTGAATTGTCAGGAGATTAAGGAAAAAAGTTCCATCTGCATGTGTGTGTGTATTAAGAAGAGAGGCAGTTCGGATATACGAGTACAAAAGTGGTGGATATGTGATAAAAAAACAAAAATAAGAAAACAAGTAAATTGGAACCAGATGTGTGACTTATGATTTATGCTTATGAAGATACATCTTAGATTTGTTATCTAAATAATTTGAAAATTGGAATAATCAGTGAATTAGTTCTAGCCCTTCGGTATAGGAAAAAAAATCAGTTTCCACATGTGGAATTGGTAAATTCCCTGATGAGTTAAGAGGGAAAAGGCATCAATTCTTGTCTTGCATCATTATCAATATTTTTCCCTAAGGTATGTGTATTTTTTTTTTTTTTTTTTTTTTTTTTTGCCTTTTTAAATCCAATGGTGAGGTATTAGTATCTCTCCCATTAAACATGCATATGATGCATACTTACCTACGTGCATCACCTCCATTGCCCTCAGATCTGGCATTTAAAGGTAGATGGTAAAAGTCCACAGATCAATGTCAAAAATAACCCTAAAGTTAATCTTTGACATGATCAGTTCTGGTTTACAGTTAAATACTAACTACTGCTCTAAAGTATGGAAAATTAGGAAATCGGGTCTGTTGGCCCTAAGGCCAGCAATTTTAATAGTATTCTGCAGAACCTATAATAATTTCATATAATGATAAATACATGTTTTTATAATAATATATGTCAGATGGTTAAGCAATTTTTCAGAAAGTCTGGACAGATGAACAATTGCAATGTTCACACGAAAGATTGACAGTAATTGTTCTATGTTCCAAATGTATGTTTTCTATTCACTCTGGCATTTCATTTTTTGAAAAATTGAAATTTCTCATTTGATATTTATTCCTTTCTAGGATTTTGTAATGATTTTATTACAGAGCAATGTTTGAAATGACAAATAGTTTTTTGTGTCTGGTTTTGTGGGGTTCAGCCATCTCAGGCTACAATGTAGAATTCATTCCATAAGATCAAACATTTTCTATTTTTAAAAAAAGCAGAATTGTCAGGTCTCTCTTATCAGCACAAAAAGGCAACAAAAACACACATTTCACACATGCAACTTTACACCAAGTGGTGGTACTGTTAAAACGATGCCTTTACAAAAGTAATTAAAATAAAATATACATGCTTCTCACAGCACCATATAAGCTTTCCAGTGATTATCAACCCGAATGTCATTATTACATATGTATGCCAGATGTCAGTTCTGAGAATTTTTCCTCTCTCATGCACTATTGATAGAGAAGGTATTCAAATCAGGAAACACAAACACCTACTGACATGCACCTCAAACATAAGAGAATGTCGATAAAAAAGTAATGAAGTTTATATATTTGACAAATCTCAGACTGATGGCCATCAAAGCGGCTTTATAGATCATAAAATAAAACTTAATTTCCTTGCATGCTTCAGGGAGAAATCATTATCTGTAACCTTTATTTCGTTTCCTATAAAACAATGTAATATTTCCTGCTTTGCAACCCACCTACCCTTCGTCTGGGAAATTGGGTTTATCTGTCTGGCAACCCTTATGGGGCATGTGGTTAATGTTTATTATTTTGAAATGGAGTCAAATGCACATGTGATTCTCATGGTTTTGTATCAGTATGTCATTTTGTATCATTTGGCAAGACAAATATTTTATGGAAGCAAGATCAATCCTTGCATTGTGCTTAATCTATGGGGAGTGACTTATAGTTTGCTCTACTTGTACCAGATTTTTTTTCATTATTCTTTGAAAATGTTTTTTTTCCCCTGGAGTGTGGCAGATATAATCCAGCTACATTGTTTTGATCAAAAACAACAACAACAGCAGAAAAAAAAGCCCATCATTTCATTTAAAAAAAGATCTTAACCCTTAACATGCTGTTAGACACAAGACAACATTATATAATCTCTTTCACTTTTTTGCTTTTATTCAAATTTAACACTGCAGTGTTCTGCTGGGACCAAGCCTTTACTTAATATATTCTCCTTGAGGTGATCTGTCAGAAAGCATTTGCCACTGAAGTTTCAGTGAGCCTTTGCAGTGGGTTAAGTTTGATAAGTGCATTATAAATCATGCATAATTGCAGTTGTGCTTATTTAAGTGTACCTATTATCAATTAAGAGTTGATTGCTGCACTTCCATCAGTGCATGCATTTTTGTGGTCTCAACCTATAATATAATTGATGTTTTAGTCAGATAAGTAGATCCAATGTGAAAAAAAAAGTCTTGCCAACATTGTTTTGCCACCCTTTTTGCTTCACTCTCCATTTGTGTCCCTGTATTTTAACAAGTATTCTGGCTTAAAAGCTGCAGCTCCAGGCAGTGAAATTGTATACAGTGAATAAGTAGCAATAGATTATCCACTACCAGCATAATACTAAGTAAACTTTCGTAACCTGAACATACTGTAAGAGGAGAATCTATCGATTGTGAAAATATACCGAGACTTAATTTCGCCTGACTTACCTGTTTCAAAACTGAAAATATTTTTTTTTACTTCCAACAGAAAAGTGTCAAGATAATTGTAAAATATTATCCCAGAGAGACCACATTAGACTTTTGCATTTCAGGTTTTTGTATTGATAATGAAATAAACTAAGCCTGATGCCATATGTCTAATCACCATCTATCCCAGAGGAAGTGCCAGAAAAGAGCAAATTGGAAACATTATTTGTCCTTTGCTCAATCCACCTGCAGTGTACTAGTGTTCAGTTACTGGTACATTCCAGGGCCCTCCTATTATTCCTGGCTCTTCAATATTTAAATAGTCCCACTGTTCAGTAGTGTAAATATCTATACTGTACATTTTACCAGTGCATTCAGGTGCATAAGTTGCAATAGATAATATTATTTAAATCACTAACATTTTTTTAATTGAGAAAAAAAAACAGCAATGTCTGGAACTCATCCACAGTATGATATACTATTTGTAGCAAACATCAAAGTCAGTTGAGTAGCTGCTTGATGGGTAAGGAAAGTGGATTTGCTTTTCACTATCAAGTGCCTCCCAAGCATAGAGGACCTTCTCTTTAAAAAGCATTTGGTAAGGTAGTGACAAGGATGAAATGTAAACCTATATTTTTTTTCTGCCAGATTACTTTAAAATATGCTTAGAAACCATTGTAGGTTTAACAAAAAGAAATAAAAGACATGATGATTTTCATTCTATTATTTAGTTAAATCAGCCTTCTAAGTATTTCATGTTATGATCTTTATTGCTGACAAAAATAAGTTGGTGAGAAAAATGAATCAGGTGTGTGTACAAGTTCATGATAAGAATGAGGGGTAATAATGTATAATTAAATACCCTGTATTTCAGAGACCTAAAACGATTTTCTGCTGCAGGTAATGGCCAATGTAAGCTGTGTTGATGACAGTCACTATAGTCACCTGTTGTAACTCAGGGTACCTTTGATGAATATTCCTCCATGCATCACAGCCGTGATCTTTCAGGAAAATAAGCTTTATGATACTAGCTGTCACATCTATTAATTTTGTTAATTATTTCAGAATTCAATACTTACAAGGTTAGCACAGATGGAATTTCATCCTGACCCATAAATATCAATTCAGTAGATTATCTTATCAAAGCTAATTAGACTACTTATTTTTCAGCTCTCCTACAATTATTCATATATCAGTGTTGAAAAATATTCATTTGACCCATAAATTTGATCAGCATGATTGCACATAATGATGTATAAACAAATTTGAAAATTAGATTTTTAAAACTTTTCTCTAAATACTCTCTATTTTCTCTATAAATTCTGTACTAATTCATTGAATTAAAAAAGATAAGGTTTAACACACACTATTTTTACTCCATATTTTATTTGTTATTTTAATAACATTAATTAACTTCTTATTTCCCCATTTTATTACTTTTTAGTCAAGAAGAAGCCCAAAACATAGACCAGGAACTTTTCACAGAATATGCATTCAGTGTGGACCAGTTGATGGAGCTGGCAGGGCTGAGTTGTGCCCATGTTGTTGCAAAGGTATGTGGTTACCTGTGCTTTTTTTAAGGGAAACCTTTAAATATCACTTCCTGTTGACAAGGTGGGAGGGAATCTATGCGGTAGGGTGGAAAAATTTGATGTTCAAATTTTTTTCTTAGTGAGCAGCAGTTGAGTTATTGCAGAAAATAATCTTATGAAAATATATACAATAGCGTCAATAACAGTCTTGTGGTTTCCTGGTGTCTCGTTTATTACTTGCGTCAAATGTTTATATTTGCGTTTAACTTAGTCAAGTGATTGAACTGCAATTCTTCCATCACGATATTCTCCTGTAATATGCAATGGCAAGGAATGACGTGATTAGGGTGGGTGGCTGGTTCCTTGTAGACGTGATTTTCATATTATGGGAGGGATGCGAGATTTTTTATTTGTCAATGGAGTTGCACAGAAAATTGTTAAGTTTACAACTTCAACATCAATATAAATATTCTCAACAATTTGCTCAAGTCAAAATTGTCCCACCCCAGCCAGTCTGGAAAAAATTTTTATAAAGTCTAAGTGACATTGACATTGACCAGTTTTGTTTCTCTGCTTTAATTGATACATGCATGTTCTGTTTTTACTTTTGAACACCCTGGGTTTCTTTGCTTGATAAATACATGCTTTGTTCTTCCCATGTATTATAATTAATAGGTGAAGCGTGTGATTATTCTACTTGGTTATTCTACTTGTCGTGCTTCTCAGCTGCTGTTTCCCAAACAGATTATACACCTGTAGCAGACTCATGAGCATGGACCCACCACAGAAGCAATTTTTTTTTGTATCTTAATTGAACAAGCCTTAATTACATAATTATCCTTGAAAGTGTATTTTTTACAAGGAGCTACAGAGTTTTGTTTTGAATGCAATCACCATCTTCTTTAGTGAGTTAACACCCGAGTGGCTTTGTTGGAAAATGAGAGTAGAGCAAAACTGATCTGTACAAAATGCTGAGCTTTAAAATGTTGTTTGGCAGATCATTGGTCATGGTAAATTGAGTGCAAAATGGCCCATCCCTGGCATTTTGATAAGTACCAATATAAAACCATTCTCAAAATTGCCCTTTTTTCACATATGGTTAGTGTAAATATCTAAATGCATGCTCAGGCCTACCCAACTACCAGACTCGTCACCGAACAATCCTGATTTCACTGGTAGATCGGACCACACTACCTGTTTTCAAGGTGTGTGTCAGCATTTCACAGTATCATACCCCGGAACAAATTTTGAGATGAGATGCACTACTTTCCAACCATGCTGAGAATCATCACTATCACATCTCGTACTAGGCAAGAGCGGTGTCGCGTCTGATACTTTGATGCGTGTAGTGATACACACCTTGAAAACAGGTATTGTGGTCTGATCTACCATTGAATTCAGGATCATTTGATGCCGAGTCTGGTAGTTGAGTAGGCCTGATGCTGAAACTTGTATTTCCTTGAAGATGCTTCATTTGGTAATTGGGTGATAAACTACACATTTTAGTACTTGCAGTTTCTTGGAAAGAAACTCTTGTGCCATTAAAAAATATTGGAAAGATGTCAGTGGCAAGGGATAACTCATTTCTCAGGAAGTGCTGTCAAAATGGGTCAGATGTTGGTGTATTAGTGCGAATATTTTTCTGATAAGGTCAGCTGGTTGCACCATTATTGTACTTATTCATGCAAAAAGATGTGTTGGTGTACTCATGCACACATCTTGAAAATGCCAAAGTTGAAGGTGTCCTATCTGAGATTTTTTGGTCAAAGCTAATTTCCCTCAAGAAAAAAGCAATTTTCTTCTACTCATGAATCGTTGCTTGACCCTTCCCTGCACTTGGATTGGATGTTTTAAAGCATTTTTAATTAAATAATTTAGTTCTTAATGACTCCCGAGGCATTTGGACTGCCTTTGGACTGCCATGTTTTCTTGACATTTCAGAATGAAATATCGACATACATCATGTGCTTTTCTTTTCTTTTTTTTATTTGGGGTGGGGGGGTATTATTTAAAAGTTCTGAATTGGGAGAAATTTAGTAGCTTTGAAGGATATTTAGAAAAAAATTATAACTTAAGGACATTACCAGACGTGTACAGCATATGCCTTTAAGTCTACAAATTGCCATACAGTTTGCACATTTGTATAAAAAATAAGATCTGGATAAGTAAGTATATAATAATAGAAATATATATACTTTAATTTGTACACATGGACATAAAATGGCCTTTGGGCACTTTAGTGATACAAGCAACATTTGATATTGATTGGTCTTTTTTCTTACCTGTTGTCTTTCTAAGTTGCACGCACCTTAGGGTTGGAGGTGTGATAATGTGTGGGGTTTGATTAATGAACCAGTGAATTAGATTCTTTTGACAGTAGGCAGTGCAGTCATCATTTTTTTGCAAGAGAAGAATGGGTTCTTTCTGCTTTGGAAAAAAAAATATATATATTGATTTTAAGGTGAACAGTGAATGAATGGGAAAGCCAGACATGTGAAAAACACAGATCTGAGTATCTCACGTCATTAGTTTTTTAAACAGCAGTCTGCTTTTGCTCAATGTACTATTGCAAAATGGTATTCCCCACTCATTCTGTTTAAGAGATCAATTAAAAATCTCTCAAAAAACTGTGCGAGATTTCTGTAAAAATCACGTCCTTAACGAATATCCTGGGGTAAATAGTTTCTCCAACTGACCAACCATCGATCTTCCTTTCCTGACACTGACCTAAACTCTGTTACAATTTGGGAAAATTAAAAGTCATAGTTTAACCTGCACTTACATGTAGGCAGGGTTTCAAATTCTGCCTGCCCTTTAATTCATGGTATTTATCTGCTTGAAAAATTTTCAAAAAGTGTTGTTTATTCTCAGATAAGTTCACCAAGAAGTGGTTTAATTATGCACTAAATGTGTGTGTAAAATCTTACACTTTGTCCCTTTAACATAGAAGTTGCCCTAATAACTGTCTTAAACATTTTTGCATGTATTATATGACTTGAAGAAATTATATACATGTAGAATTGTTTACTTATTCACTTAAACATTATTTATTCAGTTAGACATGTCCCGTTTGTCTTCAGATTAATTTTCTCATTAATAAAAGAAGGACAGAATTGGACATGCCATATTTTATTAATTACATAAAGGTATGGTACCTAAGACTGTGGAGCTTGTTTATACATCAGATAAAATTGAAAACTATATAACCCTGTTAGTTTATTCTTTGGGGGCAGCCATTCAGTGAGAAATATCTTTAAAAATTGCAAACCTTTAACTGCATCCCTAATTTTATAACAGCAATCGATCTCCCCATTATTGTTTTATGCTTTTGACAAATAATATACTGCAATGACTCTATCCTTTCATTGGGGGAAAATTGTGAGTTTTACAGTTATTTTACATTTCAAGTCATAAATTCTTAAAATTTGAAGGTTCCTATTGAGTGAGTACATCAAGATTCAAAAGCAGGCTACTCTGTACCAGTAGTTCTCTTCTTTGTAGTAAAAGCACCATAAATGCTATGTACAAAGCCCAAAGATGTAATTTTTATGATCATAAAATTATGTCTGGAAGAGTGATGATTTTTGCCCCCCTCTGCCTGCCATGTTGGCACTGCCTTTTACCCTTGTCATCATTGTTTTTACCTGGCAGACATTTAACTGAAACATGTTCTGTACTTCAGTTAGAAAAGTGTTCCACTTGTAGAACGATGTTGTCATGGTTGTCAACAATCATCTTATATCAGCATTACATTTGGTTTTGTAATAGTGGTTCTTCAAGTAACATATGGAGCCTGGTGTTACATCAGAATCAGGTGTGAACTCTTGTGTGCTTGTGTTTCCCTCATATCTGTCTTGATTAAGTTTACTAAGCATTCGAGAAAAATTAATTATGAGACTGTGTTGACCAGAAACATGATTACATCATGGTTGTTGTATGAATTTATCAGACAGCGCAGTATAAATTAATTTGTTCTAGACTTAAATCAGTGGCTGAGTCTGAAGTACTTGTATGCGCATTGCATGAAGGCTATCAATCACACTGTAGCGTGATTGCATGGTTCATAGCCATGACCAAGCAGTCGATTTTGACTGATTGCAATCTATGACCCATCAAACTTAGTTGCAACCAGATTGAATGGCCTTGGACAGGCACGTTTATTCAGATCCCAGCTGACTTGTGCAACCATCAGGTCTCTTGCACAGTGAAATCTTTAAAACCCATGGTGGGACTAATACAAAACTGTTTCCGTGAATACTGGTAGAAATTGAATTTGAACAGTTATTGTGAACAGGTCAACATAGATGTGACAAGATAGAGATTATTTATTTTCCACACAATGAATTTGTAATGCAAAATACGGGCACAGCAAAACATGTAAATTATATAAAGGCTTAATTCAAAGTGATTACAAAGAGAAAATGTAAAAGTATGTCACATTTGTTTATAAACACACAAGTATTTCAATAGGCATAGTTGTATACATTTTGTGGACTGGCAAAAAACATGAGCAAAATGTTTAGAGTCCTCTCTGCTCATCTTATCTCGGTTCTGTACCACATTTGTGCACTTACAGACAACTTGTTCCTCAGACCACATGCAAATATTCATTTATCTCAGTCACTGGTCTTTTTCAATTGCCAAATTATGAGCAGACAACCATAGTATTATTTCTGCCAGTATGCCTTCCTCAAAATAATGCATGTGTGTGACTGTATGTGTGTGTGTGTGTGTGTGTGTGTGCTAACTTACGCTGAATTAATGACAAAATGTATTCTGAGAATCATCTGCTTTATCTAAAATACTAAAAATTGTATGAGAATTTTCCAGAAAATTGCTGCTGACTATATGACTTTTGCAATTTATTTTGATCCTTCATATTTTATTAATAAAAATAGAATTAAGCCTTTGATTCATCTCAGTATCTGATTATAATTAAATTAAGACAGATTTTTGTATCTCAAATGTTGTACATCAGAAACCCTGATGACTTGATATCATATATTACGGGCGGTTTCGGCCGGTATGAGGGCTAAAGGGTTAAGGGGCCTTCAGATCAGCGGATTAACAGATCCACGGATCAAATATGGCTGACCCACTTGAATGCTTGTTGCGTAATCCCGCAGGGACTTTATTCAGTGTCTAATCGGGAATCAAGCGGCAAGCTTTTTGGTGGGTTGCCATATTTGAGCAGTGGATCTGTAAGGGCGTATTCCCAGAACTTTTAGATCGATCTATCCCCGAGGGGAGTCTCACTAGATTACTGTCAGATAATCCGGCTTAAATGTCCGTCCCACCTACTACAAGCTTTAAGGGGGGTAATTAACTTTCGTGCCCGCTCGGCTGACAGCTATTTAGGGTGAACCCCCAGGGAGTAAGGTCGATCTAAAGTAGATCGATCTACCGGTAATCTCTGGGAATGGGGTCTAAGTTTGCTGTTCTGAATGCGCTCTTACAAGTACATTTAATCATAGACAAGCTTTCCCACAGCATGTTTTATGTAAAGGATGAATTATGTTCCTGTGTTTTCATTCTGATTGGAAATCTGTCCAGTATCCATGCTATGTAATGCAGCTATTAGATAATAACCTGTACTACATGACGTGCAGTAAATGGAAATCATTTTCTCATCTTTCTCTCTCTCTCGATTTCTCTCTCTCTCACACACACACGCGCACACACACACACACACACACACACACACACACACACGTGTATTTGAAGAGAGAGAGAGAGAATATATGCACTTATAAGTACTGCCTACCTTTCTCCCCCCCCCCCATCCCCGCCCTCATTTCATTTGAAAGAAACTGAACCTTATATTGCCATGTAGCATTACTTAAGTTAGGCATGAGGCTTATTTCAACAACATAAGAAGACATCAGTAAATCAAAATTTTCAGTTAAAACTATTTAAGGGAAGGAAAATATCAAATCATGGTAAACTGATAAGTTAATGCTTAGATCGAGGCTTTTGTTCACCATATTAGCACCACATTGGGTAGACCACATTTATTAGCCAATTTTTTTTAAGTCCATGGGCAACAGAAAGTTAAAATTAGTTAGTGTATGCAAGTCTCAATTGAGAGATTATTTCCCCAATGCATTACAGGAGAGCTCAATAATGCCTTAATGCAATCCAAATGAGATTTACAAATCAAGCTTCATGACTCTGTTCCAAACTAACATTAGATACTTTTGTAATGGTTAATACATGTACGATGTAAAGGTCACACATGAACATTCGGCATTAGAGTTAATCACTGAGCTATACCCTACCCCAAACAGTTGAGAAAATTACAATCTGTAAAGTTTAACCTGGTTTGAACCCTTTATTTCTCATTTTTACTGTTACAAATTAATTTGACCAGTCCTTATTACAAGAGTGGTTCTGTTAAAAAATGAAAATAAACAGTTTATAGTTACAATGAAATTTTGTCAATGGCTTTGGCTATAATATACCTTGGTGATTAAGGGAACAAGTGTTAATTGATATTTATATAATTTTTTCTTTTATATAAAGGTCTGTTGCTCATTGTGTGATCTTAACTGTATGGGGTCATGCAGTTACTTCACAAAGTACAGCAGTGTCATTATTTATGGACATGTTCAGAAGCAGACTAAATCCAACTAGAAATAATTTGTGATGCAGGGAACTGTATTTGATAAGGTGGTCTGGGAGTCTTATATGTCAGACATTCTCAGGCCTATCCAACTACCAGACTCGGCACCGAATGATCCTGAATTCACCGGAAGATCGGACCACACTGCCTGTTTTTAAGGTGTGTGTCAGTTCGCATTTCACAGTATCATACCCCAGAACAAATTTTGAGAAGAGATGCACTACTTTCCAACCCTGCTGAGAATCATCACTATCACATTGCGTACTAGGCAAGAGCAGTGTCGCGACTGATACTTCGCAGCGCGTACTAACGTACATCTTGAAAACGGGTAGCGTGGTCCGATCTACCGGTGAATTCAGGATCAGTCGGTGCTGAGTCTGGTAGTTGGGTAGGCCTGATTCTGGTCATCTAGTGATGACAATTAGAGCTTTGATTTTAATAGTTTAAACTAGTCCAAATAAGGCTGGTTTTGAAAGCATGATATTTCACCTTCACCGGAGAAAAAATATGGCACCTTTGCTGCATCCCTCGAGTCAGAAATGACATTTTCCTTTTCCTAATGTTTATATAGTTAAAGTCCAATGGGAATGGATTTTTGTCATTTCCAGAAAAAAAGTGAAGGGGGGGGATACAATTTTCATAATATTTTCCCATTTAATGCAACAAGATAATACTATAATAACAACAATGACTAACCCTTTATACATAATTACACAGTATGTGTTGGTGTTCCTCCTAGATTCTACCAAACACTTTTGATGAAAACAAGCTAAATTTTGCTTAAGGTTAACATAACTTGAGATGAGTTGAGATATAAAGATAACATTCAGTTATTTTTATTATTCTTTTCAGCTGTACCCTAAGGAAACTTTGACTCGAGGGAATCAAGGATCTATGTTGATATGTTGTGGGCCTGGAAATAATGGAGGAGATGGTTTGGTGTGCGCAAGGCATCTAAAACTGTTTGTAAGTTTATAGCCTAGTGAAAAAAAATTCCACAAGATGATATTCTAATAATTTGATGTAGCAAGATGCATTTGGTTTCCCTGTTTTGTTTTCAGCAGTTTTGCAAACTGAATAAGAATAAGTGTAACATTTGACATGTTTTATCCTCATGAAATAAAGTTTATTATTATTATTATTATTATTATTATTGTTAGTACTCTTGATCCATGTGAACTCAAACTGCCATTTGCAAATGAATATTGGGCAAAGAAAAGAAAAGTTTTAGTTATTTTTTTTACTAATTTTCTGAAAAAGTTGATAATCACTTTGAGAAAGTAGAGAACAAGGGTCAAAATTACTCCATTTATGTATTGATCCTAAGGACTCCACATATTCCAAACTTTGAATGTACTGAAAATTATATCTGATAGAGAAAACGCAGAAGGGCACCGAGATTCCATCATGCTATCAATGATTTATGATAGCTAGTCAATATTTCTTATATCAGGTGCTTTTGAAATGTAGCTTTTTCCTCAGAGCATGGGCACTGTAGTCAACAGTTATGCTTTATCCATGATTATTGTCTTTTTTTTCATTTAAGATAAACTCACTATTTAAAAAAGATATGCAAGATGAAGTTTGAATTTTAGAGTTTTTTTTCTCTTAAATGAAAAATTGCCTCATTTTTCAGGGCTATAAACCAACAGTGTTTTACCCAAAGCCTACGGACAAGCAACTTTTCAAGAATTTGACCACACAGTTGGAGAAGCTTGACATCCCATTTCTATCTTACTTACCACACGAAACTTCCCTCATTAATGACTCCTACAACTTGGTGATTGATGCACTGTTTGGCTTCAGCTTTAAAGGGCCTCCAAGACAACAGTTTAAGGAAATTTTGGAAACGTTGAAAAAAGTGCAGCTACCATTGGTTAGCATTGATGTCCCCTCAGGTAATTATTTCTTTGCTTTCCACTTTTAGCCATCTGTTTTGATTTTAAGCTTACTTGCAAGTAGATATGCGTCAGTATTTTGCAGATTTCTATAATTTAACATTTAGTGACAAGTGAGATGGAGACGGTTTCTCTGGGAGTAGAAATGCAGCAGAGACTCCATTGTTGCTTTTTTATTCTGATAAAAGACTTCGCCAGCATAGAACTTCTGTTACAAAGAGATTGTAGTGTTTTAGTTGAACCCTAACTTGTAAAATAGTTCCTTTTGTAATTTTACCCTTCCTCAAAATATACGAACCTGAACAAATGACTTGCTCATATTTCATACAATTTATTTTTGTAGCTAGTACATGCAAGCACAGATGACAACACACAACCATCAATTGGATTACACAACAGATAACAACATACGATTGTTCATATGACCTATAAACATACAGTATTCTCTTTATATTGAAAAGGTTCCTGTTTTTATGTACAGACACAGATGTGTCTGTACATATTGCCATCACCTGCGTCTGTCGTCGCCGATGCCGATGCCGATGGCGATGCCGTCGCCGGCGCCGTGCACTTTCCTTGTAAACACGATAAGTGGAGGGCAGTTTTACTTTTTGGCTTGATATTTACATAGCTGATGAATATTCATAAAACGCAGGTCAAGTTCGAAAATCAGCATGATCGGGCCATTATTGTAGAAGTTATGCTGTTTTTTCACTTTTCAGCATAT